GCACTGGGAAAGTTGTGTGGGTTGGTTCAAGGCAGCACTGCAAGGAGGAATAGCAAGAAAACGAGCAGAAGGAAATGCAAGCTGGCTGTCAGCATGTTTTTCCAAACAGAGAAGTCTGGTCGATTGTGGAATCCCCATTACTTGAATCATTTAAATTTAAGCTGGATAAAAGCCCTCAAGAAAATACTGCAGACTGTATTCCTGCTTTGGCAGGCAGTTGGCTGGGATGACCTAATAAGTCTTTCCAGCTTTTATTTCTTGGGGGTTATGGTTAAAGGAAAGATAGGATTGAAGCAGCTGCTGAATGACCTTCTTTGTTTTCAGCCTTTAGTTTTCCCTTCCTGCTTGGAGATAGGAACTGAGGTGCTGAGTGGGCAGCCTCTGGGCAGCCAAGAAAGTCAGGAGCAATTTGGGGTACCTGGGGATCTTGAAGCCATGGTCGGCCTTCATTTATGGCTTTTTTATGCATTAGCGTGGTTCCTCTTGGTTTGCATGAGTGCGGATAAAATCAGACGTTATACCCACAGAATTTAATAGGTGATTAAAAGAATCATCTGTAGCATAATGCAGCTGATATTTAAAGAAAACGTAAATAAATCCTTAATCTTGTTTTTCATCCTTTGGAGGCTAGTCTGCCAGAGCTACAAACAAACAAACAATAGCAGCGCAGAGATGTTTGGAAGTTAAGCTGCATGATTATTTAATCTCATCTAACTGAGTCATAATGATAAACTGAATGGTACATATTTTGTTGTTTATTACTGTTCGTATGACTGTGTTTCAAGGTCAGAATTTTTATTCCCCTAACTTCATAAAAATGCTTGCTTGGAAGAAATTAAAGTTCTTTTGTATTATAGATTGCAAGAAATACCAATGCATAGCTTAGAGGCATGAAAAATACAACATATCTTAAAATTCTGACTGAAATTCTTCCATTATTGATTTGGTTCTGACTATAAATAAACAACAACTTGTATTTTTCACTCAGAACCAAATCTGCACATGCTCTCAATGTTCATTACACTTAATCTACATCTTTGCATGCAATTTTACATTTCGAAGTTTATCTTTTCAAACTTACGAATGTAAAATTGCAAATTCACTTGTTTAATTCTCCAACACCCTTCTCCCCGTAGGTTCAAATGTATTATCAGGCTAGGAGGCTTGGCCTCTGGGTCGGTCTTCCCATCTCTGCGGCACAACTGAGCAGAACCTTCCTCTTCGTTTGTACTGGGGTTAATGCCTCCTTACGTGCTCGGTTTTGATCCGTTTACTCATTTGCCTTGAAGAGCGCTTTATTTTGCTAGTAGTCCAATTTACTAATGGATACCAGTAATCTATTTTTTGCTTACCAGGTGATATATGCCACTTGACACACCTGAAGGTATGTGAGCAGTTATTCCTCAAGCAGAGGATGAAGGCCTGGAGGTGGTGAATGACTGAAATCACGTGCCAGAAATGGGAATCTCCAAATGGCTGGGGAGCCTGGACAGATAATTAAAAGTGGGATCACCAGTGGAAAAGGTTGGGAACAGTCTACCACTGAAAACCTTTGTCTTTTTCACAATAGCAGGAATACGTGCCCTTTTGTTGCCAGACATATGGGCAGCCCTTAATGAGGCTTACGTTACTGCTACTTAATATGCAAGTTGTTTTAAAGCAAATGAAACTTGCAGTAGTAACGAACACTTAAACAAAACACATTTTTCTTTGCTGGCCCATTAGTATCCAGAGAGCGCCAGTATCTGGTAAATGATTTTTCTCTCAAGGATAATGTGCAGCTAAGCCATTAGTGCCTCTGTGCATGCAAAAATGGTGTCAGAGCCTCTAAAAGTAGGAGCTTGACTTTAAGACCACAACATCTAAAAATGAAATACAGTTTAGCAATCTTTTTACTTGCCTTTGATGCCTTCTGGGGTTGCCTGGGTTATGTTTTCAAACTGTTATCGAAAGCCATCAGAGCTAAACAGCTGCATTGCATTGCATTTTATTTGTTCTGATGGAAGGTTAAAATTCTCAAATAATTAAGTGCTTTCAGTAGCTGAGGCTTTGAGAAAGATGCCAAGTACAACAGGATTCATGTTCTGGTCACCAGACACTGACCGTGCCACGGCTCAGTGAAGGAAGAGACACTCGGAGAATGTTTTGCCACAGTGTCTTGGGCAGAGGCACTTCCTTTACAGGTCACAGTCCCTGTTACCTGGTTGAGGTGCAAGCAGCTCCTCCCAGAGCGGGAAAGCTGGCCCATGCACAGCCTCACGCCCATCCCTGAAAAACACAGCCGCTCTGACAGCTGTATGTGTCTTCAGGGCCAAAGCTGGTTGTGCTTAAAGCTGCCTTTCATGGGAGCTCGTGGTGAGATGTTGGCCCTGTCGGCAGCTTGGTGTGGCCACAATGAGTTGGAGCAAAACACTTTAGGAATACCTGAGAAAATTATGGAAAAGAGAAGGAAAAAGGGGTTAGACCCCTCCATTTATTTGCAAGCTTTGATGTTTTTAAGAGCAGCGACACCGTGGATGCGCCCATTGTGTAAACAGTCCTTAGCACCCGGAAAGGCAAGGGAAAAACCGAGCTTGTAAACTGGGCACCTGCAAGAGCTTCATGTAATTTGCCCCTCTCTGGTTCAAACCTGCTGCTATCCTGGCTCCGCTACGCCCCAAGTGCAGAGTTTCTGGAGGTGTGTGTGCTTTGAGCAAACAAACCCAGTGAGCCCGGCCACGCACCATCCTCCGCACCAGCCCGGCCATCCTCCGCACCAGCCCCGGCGTGGCTGGTCGCACCCAGAAGGGTGAGAAAACCTGCACCTGGGGTGCCCCGGCCGCCACATCTGTCCTACCTGCTGAGGGATGCTTCATTAGGGAGGGGGAAACGATCGTCTGTTTTCTACCCTCCCTTTGCTCTGTGAGGGTCTTGGTCCTTCCTTCCTCATCTCTGCCCTCCTCCAGCAGCCCCACGCCGCATCCGGTACCGATAAGTCTCCTGCAAGCGCATGCAAAACATGACTCAGATTGCTATTCTGCCTCTGGGTACAGAGAGTTTGTATTCCCTGTTTCTTTAATAACCTAGACAGTTAAATTAAAATAATATTAAGGGGTAGTCTGGAGAGAATGAAAAGTGAACAGCTGCCAACTTCAAATATAAAAATGTCTTGAGTCAGGCTTCCACGAATTATGCCCCGATCTTAAAAATCACAGTTAAGATGTTTAAATTGACCCCTTTTTTCTTTTTCTTTCTGATTTCTGAGTCTTTAGGGTACAATCATAAAGTCTAGAAAATCACTATTAATAAAAATTAAGAGAAGAGCTAGCTGAGATTCTCATGTTATTGCACGCTTCTGGCAGCCCAAGCTGAAGAAAGCTAAAAAATCGTAAGATGCATGATAAAAATCATATGAGTTGGCAGCACTATTCCAAGACTCCCAAATACATGCAGTGAAGGTAACTCTGTGCTTTTAAAATTACAGCATTGCAAAATTAATCAGGGGGAAGAATCAGATGGAAGAAATAAATGGAATTGGGCTTTGCAATGACTTAGATTTATGACTGGAGGAGGCTGACTCACAACCCTAGTTGCAGCTTTGATGCACGTCCTGTCACGCTGCTTCGTTCAGGGCTCTGGACACGTTCGAGATGAAGGCGTATTGCATGTCTTTGCTTCTTTTGGAGAATCGGGAAAGGCAGTGTTCCCTGGGTCAGAGAGATTAAACAGTTTCTTATCAGGAGAGCAGCACATCGGTAGGAAGGTGAAATCTCTACATGGCTACAGTGCAGTAAATAGTAGGGTTTTTTCCCCTCAGTAGAGGAAAAGGCCAATTTTCATCTTCAGGCAGTCTAAGTAATATTTCTGAAGTTAGTTAAACTCATGTTTGTGACTGCAGAGTTATACTTAGTCTGTCAGATCCTATTGATTCCCAAAAACCCACATTTTGTTGCAGTATTGCTAAGTATATTACAGCTGTTCAAATTGTACTTTTCGAGGCTTAGTTGTTTGGTTGATCTGTGAATGATTTACAAACTGCTTCTGATTTCCGAGCTTACCATTAGATGCTGGGCCATGCAGTTATTTGGAAACTTGTATGATTCAAGCAAATCATTGACAGCATGTGAAGTGTTTACTTAAGAGATGTTCAAAAGCACAAATAATGAGGGAGTGACCAGTGAGCGTGGAATGACTGGGAAAACCGAGCATTTTAGTCCTATTTGAACCTGTCTTCTAGATGATTTATTATTGGTGGACTGTGATCAGCCACGTTATTTTTTCCTTTGTAATTTGATGGGTGCCGTTCTCTACTAGGGAGGGAATGATGAAAAGGGAAAAACCATGGTGAGTTGAATCACTACCAGCAGGAAAAATCCCTTGTCTTGCTCATTGGGGTCCCCCAATGGTGTCTGCTATAATCATTATTGGTGCTTCAGCTGGGAACACAGTATGAGTTTTGACGGTCATTAGCAGAACCAAGGGGACGTGCGCTTCCCAGAGGTGAAGGAGGAGATTCTTCCAAACATTATAAGCATTTCTTCATGTGTTTTTAGTAAAGGGATTGAAACAGAGGCTTGGCTATTTGACAAATTTTGTTCTCGTAATTGCAGAGTTGGAGAAAGTTACTGAAGGTGCTTGAAGTATTTCCAAAGTGACGCTTGAGTCTAGTTTGGCCCCCCTGCATCCTGCAGTGCCGTTCTGAGTCGAGGAAGATGGCTACGGAGCATGCACAGCTCCCACGGTGATTCTGTTGTGTAGTTGTTTCAATTGTATGTCAAACAAAGACACGCAGGAGAGTTTTTTGGGCTTTCTGAATATAGTGCTAGAGATATAAAGAGAGTAGTTATGAATGCTTGGCAAGCGTGTGAGAGGGAGATGGAGAAACAGCAAGTTTGTACTTGTGAGGGAAGAGTTCTGCAAATGGAGAGCTCCTGATACCCCTCTCATTTTTCATAAGTAATTCAGGGATAACTCTGTTAGAGGCAACGTAGCACCGAGAGGAAAACCACATAAAAAAACATCTTACCCAAAAAAGCATATCTTGCCAGAAGAATACCAGTTACGGCCTGTAGGTCGCAGCAGAGTGTGTGCTTTTCATGAGGAAATATTAATCAGTTTATCCTTTGTTTTCCAAAACTGGAATTCCCCCGTGTGATAAGCCAATGCATATTTGGTAGTATCACTGAAAAAAAACAGCCTTGACCTTGCTGGCAAGAGGAATGACAAAAAGGATGCTGTTTCTTTACTTTTTTGCTATGCGGGTGTGAGCTCTGCCAGGAGCGTTTCAGGCCAGGCAAAGCAGCACCATGTGCTACAGCCACCAAGAACCTTCCCCCTCTGCTACATCCATCAGCCAGCGTTCTTCCTATAGATTTAGGCTGAGGCATCAGGGCCTTGCACAGAACCTCTTTCCATAGTTTGTCCCACTGAAAATGGTGGGAAAGCCTAAAAATCACCGTAAGTAACAGTGTCAAAAACTGGAACTTGAGGTCCCATCACAAGTCCTTTAGGTCAATTAATATTTCTATTTTCCTCAACTCACTTTGGATCTGGCCCTAAAATTTGCACAGATCATGTTTTGCCAAGTAGTAGTATGTTATGCTAGTGTATCATATAGCAAGGGAAGTATGCAAACAGCACATACAGCACAGTAGTGAGAAACTGCTTTGTGTTAATATGATATCATCGCATGCTACAGAAATGAAAAACTTTAGCAGATGGCACTGGCATGACTGTGTTCTCTTTCTGGATGTAAAGGTAGAGATGAACACTTCTTAAATTAGGATTGTTCCCTTTATTGATTGCTTGCAAAATCCTTAATATAAATAAGAAAAAAGTAGAAAGCGATTGTATAGACTGTAAAGACAAAGTGGTCTGGTTTTCACCAGGAAACGCTGAGAGGAATCCAGCACTTTGTAAAGTCCGTCATAAACATGAAAAAATATATGAATGCCGATGGAAATCATTGACCAAAAAAATCTCCATTTTGGTGGGAAATATGTTTTATCAATATTTGTACTGATCTGCTGGAAATACTCAAGGCAAAATGGGAAAAGCAATCAAAACTGAAAATTTAAAGCATATTTAGAACTGGCTGAAAACCAGAAATCATCATGAAACTTTTTTACAGAAAAAGCAGTCTCTGTTTCTTCAGAGACTCATTTGGTTTAAGGCCAGAAAGGACCATTAGCTCATTTGCTTTGACATTTTGTTTAATAAAGGCCCGTTGCCACTATATTTTAGCCTGAAGACTTATGTTTGGTTAATTTTTTTTCCCAGAAAAGTAACTAGCATCTACTTTTGGTGTGAATATCCCAAGAACTTCAGAATCCACCATTTCTTCAGGATTTTGTATTAAGTGGTTTATAACTTTCCCCATTAAAATACATTCCTAATTGCTCATATGAAATTATATGGCTTCACATTTCAAGCCTTGGTTCAAGTTATACTTTGCTCCATTAGATGAAAGAGTTTTTAGTAGCTAATGTGTTTTCTTTTTGTGTGTCCAAATACACTGTAACCAAGTCACCTTTCCATCTTCTTGCTGATAAATTAACTGCTCAAACTCCATAAGTAATACGTAAAACATTTTCCTGGCCTCTGTATGATTTTAGACTCTTTCTTTATTCATTCCAATTTTCAACAGCTCTAGAAAATGCAAACATTAAAATACCATGGTTTTACTGGTGCTGTACACAGAGGTAAATATCACTCCTCTAATACACTTCTTTTTGATATATCCAAGGATCACATTTACTTTTTTGCTATGCTATCAAAATGAGGGCTTACATTCAGTTGCTTAACTCGATCGCGACTCACTGCTTTCCATGCAGTCCTCCCTGTTGCAGGCATGGCCTGTGTTCCTTATAGCTAGATGTGCAACTTCGCATCTGGCTATATTAAAATGCATCTTGTTTCAATGGCCCGAAAGTACTAAATGATGCATGTTATTCTCCATGATCAGCCTCTTCTTACAGTCTGATGCTGATTCCTGCATGTCTGACACTCCGGTTTGTTGACAAAGCTCTGTTGACCGTGGTTGGCACATAACCATTTTGTACTAGAAATAGCCTCTCTTTTAAAGATGTTGCATAATGTTTTCATAATCAGCATGATGTGTTCTGCTAAGTTATACAACTCACCAAAATTCCAAGTGCGTTACATCTATGCAGTTATCTTTACCAACCAAACTTGTAATCTCATCAAAGAATGAAATCAGATTTATATGATGAGACCTATTTTCCATAAAACCATGATTACTGGCATTAATTATATTGCTATACTTTATTACTTGAATTAATTATCTTTATTATCTGAGTTAATTATCTTTATCAGTTGAATTTTTTATCATTTTTCATACATTGCTTTGCTTCGCACTGATGCTGGCCAACTGGTTTACAACTACCTGGGTTACTTCAGTTTGCATCTTTGACTTTTGGCACCATATTAGTAGTATTCCAGTGTTCAGAAAAAGCTAACTTCAACAAGTTCAGCCTCTGTGGCCCAGATGCTTATTTTCCATGCTCTTCAGTGGCAATACCATTCATGCCAAGTGTTGGGAGAGAGAAGGGCACATAACAGTGTTGTATCCTTCAGGAATTCCTCTATTTCAGGGTTACTTTTACATTCAGTAGATAGGTATTCTCACTTTTTGGCTTTTCTATCATGACAGTGTAATTATTCTGATTCTGCTTCATGTATTACGGATAAAATCAGATGCAAGAAGCATTTCACCTGAAACTTCAGGATAGATATGTGTCCAGTAGGTCAGCAACACTAGTGCCTAAAAATCATCTCTTGTGTGTAGCCTGCTGCAGTTCTTCCCAAGTTGAAGAGGTAATGAATTACTAGAATCTGTCAACTTGAGGCTAGCATTACTCTGCAGAGCTAACAATTCTAGGAATTTCCAAAGTATCCATTGTGGGTTGGTATCCATTATTCCTTCAGTATTCCTAGCATTCCTCGGAAGCAATATCAGTTTTGTGAGGGTTACAATGGAGACTTGCATGGTGTGACGTTTCCATGTGAGCAGCGCTAAAAACAGCCTTAGGCAGACTGTAAGTCTTTCCCAAATAGAGTTCTTAATTAATTTAGTTTGTTATGGAAAACTTTGGGCATGTGTTAGGCATATTTTCCATTCAGATATATTATGTTTTTTAAAGGCACTCTGCAAAGTATAGCATTCTGCATTTTTTGTGTTTATCTTTAGGTAAATAAATAGAAGCCTTTGTGACAGTTAAATACTTGCCTGTTATTCTCAAGGAGCCAGAATTATTTGCAACAAAATTAAACCAATTTCTTTATCCATTGTTGGACAGCTGGATCCAGTCATCAACCAGCCTAGGTTACAACACACATGCTAGCTCGTAAGACTAAAAAGAGAAGAAAGATTATAATGAAAGAGGTCCCAATAAGTCCAACTTCCAGACATGATGGAAAAGAAATGAAATGCAAAGTTGTCCAAGTTGCACCACAGGTCCATCCACCTACAGATTAATCTCTTTCTTTTTCCCCCTTGGAAGCATAAATGACATAGTGGCAGGCTTGTGAATGCATCTAGCACAGAAAGTGTGATTAAAATCAGCCATGTGAGTGGGAGTGAAGAATTTTACCCAAGAGACAGGTAATTCAGCACAGGTCTAAAAATCTCCACCTTGGGAATGAGAAGTAGTCTCATTATCAGCATCTCCACTCATTGCATATTGTTCCATGAAGACCTTAACAGGAGAGTCTTATAGATAAGCAGTGGATGCTCTAATTTGGACTGTATTCATGTAATAGGTTTATATCAGGCTAGCAAATACCAAAATCTTGCCTGAAAACTCAGGATGTAAGAAGCACTTATTAAAGGCGGCTGAAAACACATCTCTCATAAAGCACGTTTGCATACTCAGAGGTTAGCTCAAATAATTGACAATAATGTCAAGCATGTCT